TAATGCCATATTAGTGACTGTTGTATTCTGCTACCTTTCCTATCCTCAACTATCCCCCCTCCCCTCCCCTCCCATCTTCTCTCTCTACCCCATCTGCAAATGAGGTTTTTTATAGTGTCTATATTTTTGAAAATTTCCCTGATGTGTGGAAATCAATATTTGTGTATAGCTTGTTGCCTTTCATTATAATATTGATTCTCCCATTTCATTAAAAATAAAATAGTATGTACATCTTAAAAAGAACAAAGCTGGACACAGTGGTGCATGCCTGTAATCCCAACTACTCAGGTGGCCAAAGMAGGAGGATCAWGAGTTGGAGAGCAGCCTGGGCAACTTAATGAAACCACATCTCAAAAATAAAATAAAATAGGGGCTGGGTTTGTAGCTCAGTGGTAGAGTGCTTGTCTGGCATGTGTGAGGCACTGGGTTTGATACTCAGCACTACATAAAAATAAATAAACAAATAAATAAAACAGCTGGACATGGTGGCACATGCCTATAATCCCAGTGGCTTGGGGGCTGAGGCAGGAGGATCGTGAGTTCAAAGCCAGCCTCAGCAAAATCAAGGTGCTAAGCAACTCAGTGAGACCCTGTCTCTAAATAAAATACCAAACAGGGCTGGAGCTGGGGATGTGTCTCAGTGGTTGAGTGCCCCTGAGTTCTCTGGTACCCTAAACAAACAAACAAATAAATAAATAAATAAAGGTCCATTTACAAATATATATACACATATGAATTTATTTTTTAAAATAAAATAAAATAGATAAGAATAACAAAATTCCTATGCCCCTTGCAATTTAGTTTGGCCAATAAAATAAAAGCAAAAGTCTCTGGGTAAGCTTTCCATGAAAAAAAATCCAACAAGGGTTTAGTCAGCTGACAGAAACCCTTCTTGGGTTGGCCTGATTATTCTTTAACTTATTACCTCATCGTTTCTTTCAGTAAAATGCATTTTGTATTTTTTTTCAATCATCTCCAATGAGAGAATTGGCTCAGACTGCCTAGTTTGCTATGATAAAAAGCTTTTATGTGTAATTTGAAAAGATCTTGAAGACACACCATTAAATAAAAAGATCAGACTTCAATAAAATATATACTAAATTATTCATTCTTACATCTCTGTTCAGTGTGATTACAAAAAGAAACTACAGAGGATTCTGTCCTTGTGGTTTGACTATGATCTCTACAAAAACTCTCCTGATTGAAACAACTAAATATATTTCATTTAATACTTAAAAGCTGTTTTTAAGTTTCTCAATGAAATTAAAAGAAAAGATATTATCAGAGTTCAAAGTAAGAACCCAGATGGGCACATCAGGGCTTACTCTGGCTTTTTCCCTTGAAAGCATTAGCCAAACACCAGTGACACTGAGTTCTTCTTTAAACAGCAGTAGGGGGTGCAAGGGACAAGAGAAAATGTCAGGGATTACCCAAGACATAGAATGTAACTGGAGGGAGATCACCATGTAAAGCTACAACATCAAAGGACCAGACTCATCACAGAGCTCAAAAAATAAACACATGCCATAAAACAGGACAGAAGTAAAATTAACCTATTTCAATCCATGCACTAAGAGAGAGAGAGAAAAAAGATATCTTCCCTGGTAATTCCTAACATTGGCTTTCCATTTGCAATCCCTCAAATTAACACTGCTAGAGGCTCCCCAAAATTTCTAGTCAAGATTATAGTTTATTTGTTCTTGTTCTATTGATTGATTGATACTGGGAATTGAACTCAGGGGCATGTAGCCACTGACCACATCCCCAGCCTCCCCCCCTTTTAAAATATTTTATTTAGAGACAGAGTCTTGCTAAATTGTTTAGGGCCTTGCTAAATTACTCGGGTTGGCTTTGAGCTCATGATCCTCCGGCCTCAGCCTCCCAAGCCACTGAGATTACAGGTGTGCTGGATTATAGGCATGCGCCACCACACCTGGAAAGATTGTTTTAAATTGGTTACAATCATAGTTGGTAGTGCCTGCCCTCAAGATGCATGGAAAAAGCAAACACAAGTCTTTTGGTGTAATCTTGGACTTACCAAATCCTCACAAAGCTCACAGTAATATATATATATATATATATATATATATATATATATATATATATATATATATATATATATATATATATATATATATATATATATATATATATATATATATATATATATATATATATATATATATATATATATATACACACACACACACACACACACAAGAAAATATATTTCCATAATGAGAATCAGAAGAAGGAAAAAACTGAATCAGAGTTGAAAAAACTTCAAATATTTAAATATTGAAACTATTAGACACAAAATAAAAAGTAACTTTTATTATATTTTTTGAACATTGAGACTCTGAGTAAAAGAAACAACTGACTGCTGACATAGTGGCGCAACCCTGTAATAAAGTCAGCTACTCAGGAGGCTGAGGCAGGAGGATCCAAAGTTCAAGGTCAGCCTGGGCAATTTAGCAAGATGCATATAGCTAACCCTGTTGTTGAAGGTAATGTATAGCCTTAGATGAAAATAAGACTAATAAATTAGAAAGTAAATAAGACTAAAGTTAGCAAGTTAAGCATCCATCATAAAAATTTAGCAAAATAGCAGAAACAAACAAATAAAAACTTACTTGGTGACATGTACCTTTAGTCCTAGCTATTTGGGAGACTGAGACAAGAGAATCATTTGAGCCCAGGAATTTGAAGCTAGCCTGGGCAACATAGTGAGATCCATCTCAAAAAAAAAAAAAAAGCACAGGAAAGAAAACATTCAATAAGAGCAAATGTAATGTAATTTAAAGAGGGCTGGAGATATAGCTCAGTTGGTAGAGGGCCCTGGGTTCAATCCCCAGCACCACACACACACACACACACAMAAAAAAAAAATCAACTGTAATGACATATAAAGAAACATCATAAAGAGAATTAAAGAGCAAGCTACAGAGTAGGAGAAAACCACCATAAAATAATGGACAAAGAATTCCTATCCAGAAATATAAAATAATTACCACAAGTCACTAAGAAAAAAAGAAATATGCAACGGGCCAAAACTTCAACAAGAACTTGACAAAAGAGTTATTGTTTCAAAGGTGCTCATCTCATTTCTCTGCAGATTACAAGTAAAAACAAAAATGGCTAAAATTAAAAAGGCTGACAGTACCATGTGATGTATAGAAGCAGTACAGGCCATAGCCCGAGAGCCAAAGGTAGTCCATCAAGAATTTTTGCTTATGAAATTTTACTGGATAACAGTCATGAACATTTGCTCACGCTTGTCTATAACTGCTTTCATGGTATACAGGCAGAGGTGAGTAGTTATGAGAGGAATTATAGCCCACAGTCTAAAATGTTTA